ACAAGCCATGATACTCGACGTTCAAACTCTGCGCAGCCGCCGTATTGAGCAGTCTCACCACGGTCACCCGGAAGTCTTGCATTGGATGAGTGACGGTTCAGCAGGTCGCCCTCGGGCAGTCATTGACCCTGACTTTCTGCGATGGGCACACGCTCATTGTACTACGACTGGGATCGCTGATTTCCTTGGGGTAAGCCGTAGAACAGTACAGAGATCGCTTCTAGAATATGGCATCGCCTTGCCGGGAGGTGTCCCCTTCGAAAGCGAAGGTTCTAATCTAGGAGAAAGCACTGATCATCTCAATCCAAATCCCGAAAATCCTGGTAGCCTCCATCCCGACATCGTAAACGCAGCAAGTTCGATTCAATCCTCATCTTCCTCTATCCGTCGCTCTAACATGTCTGACGATTCACTCGATTCACTCGTACGCTTACTGCGGTCTCATTATCCTCAAGCAGGGATACAAATGCTACATGGGATGCTTCGAAGTCTTGGGCACGTTGTGTCGTATGAAAACATACGCCGTTCGCTCATGCGAGTAGATCCTGTAAACCGTGTCTTTGATCGAATCAGGATCCGCCGTCGTCGGTATACTGTACCTGGCCCGAATTCGCTCTGGCACCATGATGGACATCATCGTAAGGGCAATTAACTCCTTGTTCGTTAACTATCTAACTCGTCTAAAGGTCTGATTAGGTGGGGAATAGTTATCCATGGATTTATTGACGGGTATTCTCGAATGATCACGGCTCTTCGAGCCGCTAACAACAATCGTCCATCCACAGTCCTTTCTCTGTTCTTATCTGCTGCATCACAGTACGGACTCCCATCTTGGGTACGCGGCGATCACGGTATTGAAAACGTTTGGGTGGCTGCTTTCATGGAATGTGCTCGAGGATCAGGACGAGGATCTTACATCTGGGGACGGTATGTAGTCTCATGATCTCCATATTCATATAATACTCATACAATACCTCAGGTCAGTACACAATGTTCGCATCGAAAGGTTATGGGTCGATGTATCGAACTACATAACACAGAGCTGGAACAGTTACTTTACTCGATTGGAGACGGAGCATCAACTCGACGTGAACAACCCAAATCATATCTGGCTGCTACAGCATCTCTTCCTTCCTGTCGTCAACACGTCTTTGTCCTTCTGGGCTGCATCATGGAACTGTCATCGCATCTCTCAGCGCCACGGCGATGGACCAACCCGTAGTCCAGAGGACATGTGGGGCTTCGATATGCTTGCCCAAGGAATGCGAGGTGATTCGTTGACTCAATATGCAATGAACGATGAAGAACTTGAGATGTTTGGAGTTGATTGGGAAGGACTTCGGGACGAGGATTTATTGAGCTCTCTTCGTCAGAATTATGCACACGAGCAAGGACATAATACGTGGCTTGGACAACATGGGCCTCCAGAACGACTCAACTCAGTGGAGGTTGAGCCTCCTTCAGGTTCGATGACCGCTGATGAAGTACAACTAATGGATGAAGCACTTCGTTCAATCACCCGAAGTTCTAATGAAGGTGATGTAGTAAATTTATGGCGTTCTGCACTTATATATGCTCGAGTTACCCATCCTCATGCTTTCTAGTTATCGGAATCTAGTCCAGTATGCTCAGTCTGTCTCATCAGTATTCATCTCTGACGAGCTTTGTACTCACTCCTGTTGGCCATTAGAATTTCTTGTTATTCGGACCACCGCTTGCTCCATCATTTATCTGTCTACTATCAGCATACTCGAAATCAGTTCGCCCACACACTTCTTTGCCGCGTCTTGTACAAAACCATGAAACCTTAATGCAGTCCACTCCCATTATTGATCTATCGCCCTTCTATTATATATCTACCGTGCGTTTTATATCAACATGTCTTCGTCCCGTCTAAAAATCAACACACTTCAATCTTATAAACCGATCTTCCACTATGGCTAAATCTCGTGAAAACACTGTCTATTTCCCCAAGCAAGCTGAGCAAGCTGAGCGCTAGGAAGAAATCATTGAAACCATATCACCCCCACAAATGAAGAGCTCACCGTTGAGGAGAGGAATCTACTCTCTGTCGCGTACAAGAGCATCATCGGTGCTCCACAAAATATGGTCTTGCCGAGTTCACCACTGGTGACAGTTACAAAGAGAGCACTGTCATGCTCTTCACCCGGTATGCATTGTCTTTGCTTTCGTACTTGACGTCCATAACTCTACACTGATTGACTGATTGAAGGCTACACTACATAGTATCGATTCCTATTCAGGAGAGGAATCTACTCTCTGTTGCGTACAAGAACGTTATCGCTGCTCGACGAAATATTATCTTACCGAGTTCACCACTGGTAACAAGTTCAAAGAGAGCATGGCTGTCATGCTCTTCAGTCGGTACGCCTTGTCTTCGCTTTCGTACTTGACGTCCATAACTCTACACTTATTAAAGGCTACACTACATAGTATTGATTCCTATCTATCTGCTCTCTGTCGCGTACAAAAACGTTATCAGTACTTGACAAAATATCAGAGCTCACCACTGGTGACAAGTTCAAAGAGAGCTGATAATTTGCCATGCTCTTCACTCGGTATGTCTTCGTTTTCATACTTGACGTCCATAACTCTACACTTATTAAAGGCTACACTACATAGTATCGATTCCTTCTTCTATGATGAATACGATAACTATTCGAATATCGTTCGTCGTTTGCGACCTCGCGACCCGGTATGCCTTTGGTCCCTCCCAGCACATGTTTTTGCTTTCGCTTTTGTCATATTCATACTTGATGTCCATAACTGCTCGATCGAAATTGGGCCCTACCGGTGGCACAGAGCAAGTTACGATGAACTCTTGTGTGCATTATTCTCTTTATTTCTTGTGACTCTATGTGCTCAATGGTTGCTTAGTATGTGAACCACGAAACCCATAGAGACTAACGCGAAAACTACACAGCTACAGGTTTACCCAGACACATATGAGAAGGGAGGTTTGAATTTGTTACTTACCGTTACAGAATTCCTTCGCGCCCCGCATCGCCTATAACCAATGTCTCTTCTGGACTGGGCTATCTCTGTCTGATGCACACAAATTTGATACTTTACAAGATACTAGGGTGAGGAGTTTGAAATATAACGATGGGCAAGTCAGCAAACCTTTTCCACGCCTCATGTAAGACAGTTTCTCAATGTTTGGTTGAGTTCCTTCTTTCACACTTCCATATCAACATCCAACAGTTCTTCTCAACAACAACATGCTCGTCATGCGTACAATAAGGCCCCGCAGACGCTATCATCCTTATTCCAAACCCAATTTGATTGAATTACCGGTGCCAGCCAAAGTGTCTTCGATTTATCGCTTTCGAACCTGACATTTTTTTCACTAGCGCCGCAAACTCTACGACATCTGGACTTGGGATTACTTCAATTTCGTAAGCGAACCGTTTTCATTCCCTCGATGTGCAAGACTGAATGAAGGTCTATGTGCAGGTCGCCGCTCTTGATGCATGAAAACAAAAAAAACCCTAGTATGGCCAGCTCAAGCATCTCATAACCCATCGCGAGTGTTATCCCAATGATCTTACCATCGCATAGCTTATTCCCGGTATTCACAGCTTTCTCTTCGCTCGATTCGAACGATTCCAGTTTCGCCGCTCTTCTTTTCGTTCTCAAGCTCATTATCCAAGTGAATCACTCCTTCAAACCCAATTTCTGAGGTCGCAATCGACATGTTATAGATTTGTACCAGGAGGCTGGAGTGTTTGGTGCGTTTCTTTTGCATATTGTTGTGACAAAACCCTGACGTCTTCGACTTCTCCTGATCAGTGTACATATTTCACAATCCATCGCTCGTTCTTGTAACAATCGCACTGATTCTACTTCCTGTCTGGTCTGTTCTCCTCATTGTTCCTGCATGAACACAGACTGATAAGAACTATAGTTTCCCCTTGCTTTCACATCATCAACCCCTCATCTACATCACGACCGAAATCTGTATGTAAATTTTGCACTACTTCCGACGTTTTGATCACTCGATCCGTCAGATGGTTTTCTCGCATCGAGTCAATATGCAACAATTCCTCATCCCTCTCCTTACCAGTCCTCGCCCGCATCCAATCCTCCTCATCCGCTTCTCACTTCTTAACCCTCCGCTCACCTCGCATCTTGCATCTTGTCATGGGTGAGTGTTTCATGGGTCTGTTATCGCTTATCGAGTGCTCATTGCGCACACAGGTCTTAATCTTGTCGACCCTTCAGTTCTCGGCGAAGCTGCTGGAGTGTACATAGCTTGACAGTAACCTGCGGCGGCATTTCATGCAACAATGCTGTGTTAATAGGACTTCGATCAAATTGAACGCCCTGCAACCATCTTTGACTGCCGGAAAGAGTTGCATTCGCATTGTATATAGCTTTCGTTCGGCATGCCAGAGCCTGAAGACATTCATCGTACCTGTAAAGGAGTGCAGAGGAGTTGCCGCACGGGCATCGAACTCATGCTTTTGTCCATCAAATCTATCCGTCACCGTGAACAGTGTTTTGGTGGCATGATTGATCAATTTATCGCCTTGTACATGATCTGTATTCAGAAGTACATAGCAATGACTACGAAGTGTATATCCATAATCTTTGGTTGAACTCAACAAAAGTGTCAGTCTATCGGCCGAATCTGCAAGTGTCTCGACGCAAGTGTGTAGTCAATTGACTAAACTTGATGGTCTTCGGGTAGAGAGTCAAAGTAAACCAGCAATGAGAAGATATCGAAGTGTTCAGCTCTTATGTAGGCAGTCTCATGCCATTCATTCTCAGTAACAAGCCAACACTCAAAGTATTTCTGGATGTTAGTCGGTAGTCGGTAGTCTATGTCGTTGATTTGAGTGAGAAGTCACCAGTCGCACCAGCGAAATGCAGTCAAAGTCTATTCAAAAAGTGCGGAAACAGGGTCGAAGCCGAATAAAGTCCCAAAATAGGTTTCATAATTCTGACGAAGGAGCAGCGAGCAAAGACTTTACAAAGTCACTTTGCCGGAGTGGTTAACGGGATCGCCTGCTAACGGAGCTATCCGGGCCACCTGTCCGGTGTTCCGTGTCAGTTAGCGGTTGGGCTTTGCCCGCGTGTGTTCGAATCGCACAGGTGACGATTCTTTTTCTCTACTCAACCTACGCGACTCGGTGTACCTCTTTTTGTTGGGAACTGTGACCCTATTCTTCTGTTTCGATGTACGTGACTCACGCATGATGAGCAGGGAACATCGCACCTCTGAGATTCGTTTTGTTTTCCATCGCGACCTCGATCTGGAAGGTGAAAGAGACTAGAAGAATGCTCTATGTGGTCATGGCTACATACTACTTCCGGCCAAAGCACCTACAAGATCGTCTTGCCATTTGAGTCTCGACAGTCATGAACTAGAATACATCGATGTAGAATTAGTTATTGCAATAAGTAAACACAGCATGGTCAAAGTTTGATATGTGCAGCATCCGAAAGATATAATATAGGCACAGAAAGAATTAGGTAGTACGAAGGCTTTCCACTGTTCAGAAGCATGTCGGAATCATAAGCAAATGGGTAGAGAATAGGTTGGAACGAGTGTGTACAGTTGGAAGAGAAGACCATTGCAAGAGAGATATGTGAACGACGAAGATGAGTTATGCGGCGGAGATGAGGTTCTCGCACTCGACTACAGAAAAAGCGTAATTTTAGTATCCATCATACTGTCCCGATGGCCTGATGGGGCGATTGAACGAGAAGATGAACCCATATCCGCACAGAGACAGTCAATAAATTTTCATCTTGTCTTCCACTTCTCGAATTGCGCTCCCTTCGTCCTTTTTGATATCTCCCTTGATTAACTAATCGCTGAAAAGATGCTGGCAAGACCAGACGGTTCGAGGGTATGTAGATGATACCAATACTTCGTGTTTGTTGATCGTTAACATCGTGAAACGGTGGCATTGCAGAGCTATTGATATATGGTATATGTTGTATCAGTTGTGTGTTGTCGTTGTCGTTATTGATTGAGATATGATGAGAGCGAATAAGCCAGCTGGGGCGAAAATGAGAGACGAAGCTTATTCTAGGGATCGACAGATGCCACCACGATGATTTAAGGGAAGCGTACGCATACATGGGGCGTGTACAAGCATGCTATCATCGATTGCTTCATGGGATATTATCCAGCGGGTAGACAATTTTGAGGGATGACCGAGAAGAATATCAGCGGCTACACTCCATCATCACCAGTGACATGTTCTGGAGGAAGATCATGTTGCTGATGCAATGGACTCTCAGCGACCGGATGCGTCGTCGTTCGGGTATCAGCACTAGTGAACGTCGTAGAACTGTCCATCCGGTTGAAAACGAACTAGAGCACAATCATGAACACAGAGAGTTAGTTATACAGTTAGATGGGCGTAGCGAAAATCAAACTCACCCCACCAAACGGCCTCGAATAATCCACATGATCTCCCAAACTCAACGAACTATCATTCCCTGCCTGTGATCGCGACATATCCGCCATCTCTCCCGTCGTACGAAGACCATGTGCCGGATTCAACAGCCCATCCGTGTATGCCATCCGAGAGTCATCCGTCAACGCAGGCGATGGTAAAGGTAACGGCGGCTGCAAAAACGACATCACCGGTGGTTCTAATGGAGCCTCCGACACAGGAAGAGGTGGATTGAGCAAGGACGATCTGGCAGGAAATGTTATAGTCGAAGGGTAATATGACGACGAAGCAGGTGGAGTAACAACCATCGAACTTTGCGTCGAGCTACGGCCTCCACGAAGCCGCTCGATGAAGCCCCTCTTGAACGACTTCGGACTTGGAGAACGGGTTGGAGGTACCGAGCGATCGTTGACCTTCAATTTGGGTATAGGAGCGGCCAAAGTCTGAGCTTGTGCCGTCGTATGTAACGAATGCGAATGTGAGTTTGACGACCCCGATCCTTCACCTGCCGAATTCCCAACGCTGGTGTCATTCATATTAACCTTTGTCGAACTGATAGTCCCACTACTATGCGTCCGATCCTGATTCAACAATGTCGAATGCCCATGCGAAGACGACAACGTCTGATGAACCCCCCCAGACGCTCCCATCCCCGCCATAGTCTCAGCCGCCTGCCCAAACCCAGGCATATTATGCCCTTGAGACCTCGAAGACTGAACCGACGAAGCATTATACGTCGACCCAGAACTCTCCACCGAGCCCGAAATATGCTCATGGCCGCTCGAACTCCCAGGATCGTGCCCATGACCACTCGAACTCCCCTCTCCAAATCCTAATCCATACCCGGGTGCTGTCATAACAGGAGAGGCCGGCAACGGGACATTCACACCCGGATATTCTTCATCCCCATCCTCGTCACTCAGCGGTGATCGCCAGGCCGCGGTAGATTGAACACTTGACGTGGTCCTATTGAGCGGCCTTGAGCTACTGCCTAGACTGATTCCGCGCGCGAGAAAGCCGAGTTTTTTCCCTAGGGGTGCTGCACCCTGTTCGACCATTTCCTCCGTGAAAGGACCCGCAGTAGGCCCGACACCTCGGTTTCCTCTTCCTCCTTGAAGCTCGCGTCCTCCGAGAATCTGGCCTAGACGGTTACGTCGGATACGACCGCATATGAGGAAGATCGCGAAAGCGGCAGCTACGAGAGCTATTGCGCCACCGATCGTGGCACCTATAATGGCGCCAGTGTGGGGCGAAAAGTTTGTGTTCGAAGCTAGTGACGGAGCAAGAGAGGGATTCGGAGGGAACGTCGATGAACTGGTGACCAGAGATGATGTATGCTTGAGGGACGGGGTATAAGTGAAGGTTGGACGGGTGGTGGAAGGTGCAACGTCTGAACTGGAAGTTAATGTAATGATGGAGGATGAGGAAGCCCCTGTCGACACCGAGCTTGATTCTGATATGGATGTTGAAAGCGTTGAGGAGGATGCAGATGGAAGAGTCAACGAGGAGCTGGAAGAAGTAAAATATGAGCTGGTTGACATCGTGACCGATGAAGGAAGAGTTCTAATTAATTCATGAGAAAGAGTGGTACATCAATGAGGGTAAACCTTACGATGAACTGATGACAACTGTGGAGGATACATTTGAGGGTGTCGATGAAGGCAATCTGGACGTTGATGACAATGAAGTTGACACCGTTGATGACTGCATAGATGTCGGCACAAGCGAACGTGACGAAATACTACTGAGAGTGACAGTGGAAGACAAGCTTGATGAAGCACTGATGGACAGTGTGGATGAAGACGACTGTGTGTTCGATGAAGATAGTTCGGAGGTAGATGCCGATGAAGCAGTGGTTGACATTACAGAGGAGCTCGTCGAAGATGTAGAGACCGAGCTAGAAATCGCGGTCGAGCTCAAGCTAGCGGCAGAGGTCAATAATGACGTAGAGGAGGTTGAGGTCAACGTTGACGTGGAAGGCGTTGGAGTGGGCGAAGTTGGGTTTAAAGACACAGTGGTGATTGTAGGAGCGCTAGATGTGGCTGCGACGCCTAGTACTAGCAGGTCACTAAAAGTCAATTTAACACAAAATCGAAATCACTTACTAGACATCGACGAAACAGTGCTCAGACCAACCCGTTCTGCCTCCCGTGAGGCAGCATTCACCAAGAGCGATATGCCAGGTAAAAGTCCAAGGTCAAGCTGACGCGGTGACAATCGTCGAGATGGGTACCAAGTCTCCTGGACAGAGGGGTGGAATCTAAATTATCCGCACGACATTGCCGGTCAAAATGCAAGCTTTCATAATGGAAATTATTTACGTGAACGACTTACGACGACGTATGCCGCGTTGTATGCAGGCTATTCTTCCCTGAACGGTTTGCCGAAGGCCTGCGATCGATAGGCGCGTCGTTCATGGGCGATATAATTATTTCTGGCCGTTGAGCATGTTGATCTTGAGCTTCGTGCCTCGCCCTTTCTCTTGTGTCCAAAGCCAGGTCCGGCTTTGAGACATTACTAGGATTTTTCTCCCGCTGGTACCGGTGCCTCCGCTTCAAGTATGACCTGTGTCCGCATGAGCTTTGGGCCGAACAGATCGACATACGAGGCAGGATATTTAGTGAAAAAAAGGTAAAGAAAAAAGTCCGCGTAGAGAGTTGATTTGTAGAGAGGATGGAGTAACGACTGTGAGTTCGGATAAAAAGAACAAGTAAAGACTGCAGGACGTTTGTGAAATATTTCCGCAAGTCAATTGCGCCTCCCGTCGTTGTGAAATGATTGTGGTGAAAGAGAGAGCTCTTGAAGGTGGCTGTCAGCCTATAAAGTTGATCTTGGCGGTGTCGGAGTGTACAGTGAGCAATTAGTTAGGTTCTTCACCAAAGATTGAGGACGACAACCCATGGAAGGTGGCGACGAAGGATGGTGAAAGATCAAGTTAGAGGACAGCCATTGAGCTGGAGACGACCTAGAAAGGGTGGCGGACAGTGGAGTCAGTGGAGTAAAAAGTTCGATCCCACTGTCAACCTTTTCGGTCCTGAAACTCTTCGCATTGTCCCCGGAATGGCCAGGGATTGATTCCCACGCTCACTTAAATAACTTTTTCAATTGAACAACTCCCGACTTCCCGCCGTTCCGTCGCACTCCCAATCTTCTCCGAGTCCCGACTTCTTTGTGCAAAGGACAAGTGTCAAGGGGAGCAGGTAGGACAATCCACTCGACAAGCTCAAGAAAAGTCCAAGGCGTTCTCAAGATATCGTAGGCTGAACGGGCGACCAATATCATTCTCAGGAGCAACGCAATATGAGAGCAACGTTGCCATCTCGAGATCTTTATAGAATGAGCATCAAGAAGTTCAGAAGACGAAATATTTGGCCTCGACGTCTACTATATTGAACTCACTTTCCTCGTCCGACAAGCCTAATAGTGTAGAATATCATCGCATGTGAAACTCTGGTATTCTACGACAACCGCACGGTGAGGAACGGTGCCACCAACTGCCACCAATTGATGATCCCTTCGAGGATAGACAATGCCTCTTCAACCTCCACATGCTCACTGCTCGTCCAATAACGTTATGGAACACAGGACTGAACGATCCCTTTGAGGAAAAGACAATGCCCCCGCAACACCTCCTCGTGCTTCTTTGTTCAACAACATTGCAGAACGATGCACTACAACTTGCCCCAGGAC